GCGAATTAAGCTACAAACTCCATCATAATGCACACTGTTTCCATCTCACATGTATTTTGAGCTGCAGCTCGTTATTAATGGAGTGTTTCACTAGTTACTGAAGACGCGAAACGCAGAGGAACAGACGAACCGATTTAATTGAGTGAGGCATTTACGCTGGAACCGCTCCGATTGATTCAAACTCGATTCACTAGCAAAAAAACGAAAACAAAACAAAAAACGTCTCCAGGTTATGCATGTAACCATGGTTCCCCCGAAGGGAACGAGACGCTGCGTTGAACGTTATGGGAACGAGTGTGCCCACGCTGCCAGACTTACAAATCCCTGCCCAGTGTGAAGCCAGCGCGAGAGAACAGAAGAGCCCGGAGTGGCTCACATATCTAGGCCACAGAACCTGACGAACGTGAGGGACGTGGACCAACCCGCAGCGTTGCAGATGTCCTGCATAGACACACCTGCTAGAAAGGCCTTAGAGGCCGCCACACTCCTAGTAGAGTGAGCCTTGACCCCCAGAGGCGAGGGGAGATCAGAGGACTCGTAAGAGATGGAGATGGCATCCACTATCCACCGACTGAGGGTCTGTTTTGTAGCAGGAAGACCTCTCTCAGGGGGCAGCTCTGTGGACTCAGTTAAGCTTCTGCTGGTCGGGCTCCCTGATGGGAGGAGGACTGAAGGCCTGGAGTACAACAGGCCGGGGTGCAGAGGTCGAGATAGGAAGGGGCCACTGAGAGGGCCTGCAGATCCCCAACTCTCTTAAGAGAAGAAATCGCCAGAAGGAAGGTAGTCTTTATAGTGAGATAGCGATCAGAAATCTCTTCAATAGGCTCGAAGGGAGGCTTACAGAGAGCTTCTAGCACCACTGCCAGGTCTCAGCCTCAGCGCATCGCGGAGGAAACGTGTCAGTAGACCTTCAGGGTGGAGTGGGTCAACCCTGCGGAGAATCGGGCCTGCAGGAACTCCAGAACTGTACCAACCGGACAGTTAGCTGGGTCAAGCTGGCGGTCTCCGCACCAAGAAGTGAAAAGCTTCCACTTCAGGGCATACAGTTTCCTCGTGGAGGGAGCTCTGGATTGGAGGATGGTCTCAACAACCTCGGTTGAGAGACCAGGAGCTATGAGTTGTGCCTTCTCAGGGGCCACACCCACAACTTCCACAGCTCCGGGCGGGGGTGGATGATCGTACC